CCAGGTTCAACAATAAGGTTCAAAAAAGACTTTTCCCAAAGTTTCTTGAATCTTTATAGAAATTTATATTAGAAAACACCTTCGATTATTCCTACACTTAACAAAAGTCCATTTCGCAATTTCCTTTTGTTGAAATACTCAAAACCCATTCCCATGAAGTTTTTGAGTTAAAAAGATAAAAGTATCAAATGAATGAAGATTAAAGAAACAATAACAATGCACATTAAGAAATTTTACCCAATCATTTTGAATACCCAGAAAAAAAAAAGGAATTAGAAACCCATTTTAAAAACAACACTGCAGAGATTAAAGAAAAAGAAACATGCATTTAGAAATGAAATCAAGGTTTAATCGTAAAAATCAAAGTACCGATTACTAACTAGGACTAGAAAGATTTAAACTTCACTTGCATGCACCATTGATTTTTTTTTCGGCGAAGATACTTTGTCATTGCACTTCGAGTTCATCTAACAACACTCAGCCTTGAAGAACAACTCACTCAGCTTTCAAGTAAATCTAACAACACTCTGAGTCTTCTAAAAACAAGGAATAACGAAGATTGAATTTCTAAATCTAAAACGTGTCTCATTATTTTACAACCCACACAATTAACTAAAACAGAAATCCTTTGTATTAGTAGCCGTCCATCTTCTTATTCATCCAATGGTGAAAATATCTTCTCACTTCCATGAAGTTGATCCACGTGACTGCTTCAAAAGAAATACGTAAAAAATGAATAATTACACTTATCAGTAAAAATAACGTAACTTGGGCTTGGTTACTTCTTTTTTTTGAATTGGGCCATATTTCACATTCTTTCAGTCCATTTTCATGTAATTGTCAACCCAAAGAGATTTAAAATAATATAAAATAATACAATAATTATATAAATAATTTAGTGCTAACATTGTGACGCGAAATGATTTCATGAAATGACTGCACTAGTATTGCACTAGTGTTACCTTAGTATGGCGGCATTCTTTCTTATTGGGAATATAGGTGGCTTTAGGGGTGTGCATGAGTCAGGTCGGGTCAGATTTTTGTGCCGACTCAACCCAACTTGGTTTTTATAGGATAGGTATTTTGACCCGACCCGCTTTACTTTGATCCAAGTCAGGTCTGACTTGGTTTGGATTTTTTTGAACTACTTCAGAACCGGGTCAGATCTGACCTGACTTGGTTTCTGAAGTAGGTCAAATCTGTCCTGGCCCGTTTTTGACTTGGTTTCAAAACATGTTTTTATTTTTATTTTTTTAATAATTATTGTCTTTTTTTAAACTCATGTAATTTAATTATTTATTTGTTTTAAAATATATAAATTTTATAATAAATTTGATATTTGTTGAATAAATAAAAGAATGTAATTTTAAGCCCATGCACATGTGAAGCAAAATTAGTGAAAATTAATGAAAAGTAAAGGATGAGAGAACGTTCTTCCCATCTTAAGATGACAAATCACTAATTTTAACAATGATATATTATAAAATTACATAATGTCTACTGATAGGAAGTTCATAAATTCAAACCCAAATTATACAATTATTATTACGGAAAGATCAATTAGTTTAAGGCAACTCTTGGCTAATATGATTGTACATATATAATTTTAGTAATCAACTACAAAGAAAATAGAAAATTTTGACGGAATGTTTTTCTTTCAAAATTTCGATGGGAATGTGTTCTGACGAAAATTTCGACGGAAAATTGTTTAGAGGGAAATGTTTCATTTGAAACATCCGACGAAATTTAGATTCTCTAAAGAATTTTGACAGAATATTTTTTCCGTCAAAATTTTTTATCGCAATATTTTGTGTCAAAATTTTTTACAGAAATGTATTCCGTTGAAAATTTTGATTGAAATATTTTTTATCAAAAACCTGACGAAAATAATTAGTTCAAAATTTTCGATGGAAATGTGTTTCGCTAAAAATTTCGACGAAATTTTTTTTTCGTCAAAAAGTTTAACGAAAATGTTTCCGTCGAAAACTTTCGCCGAAATTTGAATTTTGTAAAGAATTCTTATGAAATTTTTTTCCGTCAAAAAATTTCGATGGAAATGTGTTTCGTCGAAATTTTTGATTAATATGTCTTTTTGTGAAATATTTTGACGAAATTTAGATTCTGTAAAAAATTTGACAAAAAAATGTTTCCGTCAAATATTTTTACAGAAATGTTTTAGTCACAAATTTTGATTAAAATATTTTTTGTTAAAAATTTTTGCGAAAAATGTTGGTGGAAATATTTTCGGTAAAAAATTTTAACGTAATTGTTTTACGTTAAAACTTTTCTTTTAACATAATTGTGATTTTCTTTTTCTTTTTTTCACATAATTGGTATGGATCAAGTTTTTGGTCAATGGGTCATTATTAAAACAAGTCAGGTCTAAAACTGACCCAAATAAAAATGGGTCACTCTTTAAATCCAATTCAAAAAAATAGGTATTTATGAGTTAGGTCAAGGTCATATCAAGAGCAGGACAAGTGAACCAGGTTTTTTACACACCCGCTTTGCTCGCTTATCCTATTTGCGGGATTCTTGACGGTGTACTGAAATGTATAGGCTTGTGAGTTTTATACTATTGTGTGCCTGCAAGATTACATTTTATATATATATATATATATATATATATATATATATATATATAAGGTTATATTTATCTCTTGTTGTATGAAAATAAATTGTCTTATGTTAGAAATAAAATTATAAGTGGGACCCATCTTCATTTCGTGTGTGTAGGAAATTTATTTATCTTATGTAACATAAGATAAATATAACCCATATATATATATATATATATATATATATATATATATGTATGAGATTCAATTCTCTCATATTATTGGATATAAATATCTCCTATTATAGACACGTAATGTAATGGGATCCACCACCATTAAAAAATAAAAATAAAAAAATGATGACATTATTTTGGATGTAAGCAGAGTGACATAAAATAACTCTCTAATGTAAAATAAGAAAATAATATATATATATATATATATATGTGTGTGTGTGGGTTTTATAAGAGTAATGTTGTAGAAAAAAGTGATTATGTAATGTTATAGAGATTCGTTTTGCGTGCTGTAATTTCTTTTTTTTTCTTTTTTCTTCAAAAAGTGTGGGCCCCACAAAATATTGTGTGTAGGAAAGTTTGTTGTGTCAAAAATTTTAACGAAAATGTTTCCGTTTAAAACTTTCGCCAATTTTGAATTCTGTAAAGAATTTTGATGAAATTTTTTTCAGTCAAAAAATTTCGATGGAAATGTGTTTCGTCGAAAATTTTGATGAATATGTTTTTTTGTAAAATATTTTGACGAAATTTAGATTCTGTAGAAAAATTTGACAAAAAAATGTTTCTGTCAAATTTTTTTACATAAATGTTTAGTTACAAATTTTGATTAAAATATTTTTTGTTAAAAAATTTTGCGAAAAATTTTAATAGAAATATTTTCGGTAAAAAAATTTGACGTAATTGTTTTACGTTAAAACTTTTCTTTTAACTTAATTGTGATTTTTTTTTCTTTTTTTTTCACATAATGGGTGTGGTCAAGTTTTGGATCAGCGAGTCATTATTAAAACAAATCAGGTCTAAAACTGACCCAAATAAAAGTGGGTCAGTCTTTAAATCCAGTCAAAAAACTAGGTTTTTATGGGTTAGGTCAAGGTCAAATCAAGTGAACCAGATTTTTTACACACCCCTAGTTAGCTTTGCCCGCTTATCCCATTTGCGGATTCTTGACGGTGTACTGAAATGTATAGGCTTGTGAGTTTTATACTATTGTGTGCCTGCAAGATTACATTATATATATATATATATATATATATATATATATATATGGTTATATTTATCTCTTGTTATATGAAAATAAGTTGTCTTACGTTAAAAATAAAATTATAAGTGGGACTCACATGTAAGAGGAGAAAGAGAAAATAGATATAAGAGTATAAGACCCATTTTTATTTTGTGTGTGTAGAAAATTTATTTATCTTATGTAACATAAGATAAATATAACTCATTTATATATATATATATATGGGATTCAATTCTCTCATATTATTAGATATAAGTATCTCCTATTATAGACACATGATGTAATGAGATCCACCACCTATTAAAAAATAAAAAGAAAAAAATGGTGACATTATTTTCGATGTAAAAGTGACATAAAATAACTCTCTAATGTAAAATAAGAAAATAATATATATATATATATATATATATATATTCTTTACTCTTTAATCTTTATGATTGGGTCTCTTCAGCTGTTATTGCACAAGATCCTTCGTACCGCTTAATATGATTCAGATAAAATCGAAGTGAAAGATTGTATAGTACCAAGCCTTGTTTTGGAATTTGATTTGCATAAAGAAAATTACGGAAAACAACCAAGGAAAATGGTGATAAAACACAAACTTTTTTAAAATAAAAAATAAAAAAATAAATGATATAATAGTTTAAGGAGTCTGGCGGGATTCAAAGGGAAGGAAGTTGGAAAATTAAAGTAAACAATAAAATAAAAGGAATGGATGAAGAGGCAAAGTTGCAATTTGAAATAAAGAAAAGGGGATAATTGATAAAACCAAGTCCAAATTCACTTGTTGCAAGTTGGGGATCCACTTGCACGTCCTGCGTAAGCTCTCCTTTACAAGAAATCAATAACAACAACAACCTTGTATTCTCTCTCTACTCATTCAGCTTCAATCTCAATCTCATCTCCTAAAAAGCTTTTAAAAAGGAAAAAAAGAAACAAGAAAATAGAAGAGAAAAAGATAAAGAGAAAACCCCTCAACAACAAAACTAGTGCAACTTGGTACTACAAAAATATATTAACACAAACCTTTGCCTTTGCCTTTGCCGTCTCTTACACTCTCATATATATGCTTTTGCTTATTCAACATCAACAAATCAAGAATACCCATACTCACACGCACTCGCTAATATTGCTGGAGAGAAAAAGAAGAGGTATTTTTAGTTATTATTATAAATAAAATAAATAAAAATGCCTTCTTCTCTTCAGCTGGAGAGGTTTAATCCTACCACCGACGCCACCGCTTCCGCCGCCATTGCTAACGGCGTAAACTGCCCCAGGCAGCCTCAAACGCCGCCTCCCGTGGCGGCGCGTCGCCTCGTGATCCCCCTTACGCTCTGTTTCTCTTCAGGTGTAGCCCCGGACACCGTGGCTCGCCAACACGCGCACATGGTGGGGCCCAACCAGTGCTGCTCCGTCGTGACCCGATTCATCGACGCCCCTGTCTCCGCCGTGTGGCCGGTTGTTCGGCGCTTCGACAACCCGCAGGGCTACAAGAATTTCGTGAAGAGCTGCCACGTCATTACCGGCGACGGCATTAACGTCGGCGCCGTCCGCGAGGTCCGTGTGGTGTCGGGCCTCCCCGCCGTGTCGAGCACGGAGAGGCTGGAGATCCTGGACGACGAGCGCCACGTCATCAGTTTCAGCGTTGTCGGCGGAGACCACCGTCTGAGGAATTACCGGTCGGTGACGACTCTTCACGCTGACGGAAACGGGACACTTGTCATCGAGTCATACGTCGTTGACGTACCGCAGGGTAACACGAAGGAGGAAACCTGCGTGTTTGTCGACACAATCGTACGTTGTAATTTGCATTCGCTCGCTCAGATCGCCGAGAATATGACCAGAAATCGTGAACTCAATTCTCAACAACACTGATAATGGTTCCCAACCAACTCTACCTTTTATTCATTCTCTCTCTATTTCTTCCCTTTTCTTTTTTCTTTTCTTTTCTTTTATTTAAAAAAAAAAAAAACTGTTTTGTGTCTTCCGGGTTTTTTTTGTTTCGAATATGGGTTCGGATCTTGTTGTATCATGGACTTAGATGTTTGCCCGTATTGGGAATTAATGGATGGGTAGATCAGTAGGGTTTTACGGATGGCAATGGTTGAATTATATGATATGTATATGCATATATGATATGTGTTCATATAATGATTAAATGATGTAGTTCTATTTTCTTTTACTTTTTTTTTTTTTAATTTCTTTCTATCTTTCTGAATGATTGGTGTTGTTGAGTTGTTATATTTCCCCTGAACTTAATTATAGCATTTCATCCGTATGGACTTGCATTCATTCATGTTGTTTTTGTGTAAATTCTCTTTTCATTTTAAAGCAGAGAAAATGATTATGAATTAAGTATGATTAATGTTAAACCTTAGATATATGTTTTTAAGCTGTGTTTAGTTTTTTTTATCGAAATTTGATGAGATAACTAATGGCTGAGCAAAAATATTTATTAAAGGGGGAACATATGGAAAATTCATGCAATAAAATCACTGACTTTATTAACTAATTCAGCCTATTTCCTCCTTCGCACTTTTGTCAAGGGAGATAACATGGAGATAAACAATGTTATATATATTTTTTTTATTTTAATCATATTTGAAGGTTGGGGATGCGACCAAATAAACCACTTGAGCACCCACGTACGGCATTTCTCTTTAGAATATAGTTTTTTTTATCGGTTTTTAATATTGGTGTTTGTGCAAATTTATATGTTCTTATCTTTTGATGATGACAACGGGGAATAATTGGGTACTTGATATTGAATTCCCATATTCAAATCCTATTAGTTAGGGCCATGCAGAGTGATAATTTATTGAAGAGGACTTTTATTTCGTGCAAATTAGATTTTCGGAAAGTGTTATGAAGGGTTTGCTAACCAATCACCCTTAATAGAAATAAAAGAGGAATGAGGGTAAATTATATGTCTTCATTGTAAATATTTCCACCCAAATCGTTCTTCTTCTGATCATCGAAAGATAAGATTATATGAACTTGTATAAACAATATATAGGAAGAAAAAAAAAACTCTATATATCTAAAGGAGAGCGTCGTGCGCGCACGAATGTCTATACGATCATGGTGGAAATAGAAGAGTGATAAGTGATAACCATACAATAGGAACTCGTATGAACACTATTGAAAGGGAAAAAAAAAAGGAAAAAAAATCAATGTCTAAAGGGAAGTGTTGTGGTCACTCGAGCATCTATACGATGATAGTAGAAATATTAAGAGTGATAAGCATAAAATACTTGTTTTTAATGTAATGTTGTCACCCAAATCATTCTTCCTCGTGATTATCAAAGATCACAGTACATAAACTTGTACGAATAATAATAAAACGGGCAAATAATTAATATCTACGTACAGGGAAGTTCTGTGGGCACTCGAGCGTCTACACGATTGTGTCCCCAGCCTTTTAGATTTGATCAAAAAAAAAAAAGAAAAAAAACTTCATAAAATACTACTTCGTCGTGTAATCCCATCAACAGCTAAGGACCGGGGAGTTTGGTTGAGGAGAAATTTTTTGAATATTAAATAAATGTAATTGATAGAAAAATGGTTGGAAAGTGAGTTTGGTAGGAAAGTTTTGTATTTTGTAAATACATAATTATCTTGAATATATTAACTATTTCTTTCTTTTCCGATCGCCTAAGAAAAATTATTTGGTACCGTAAAATATTAGTAGGGAAATTGAATTAAATATGCTGAGCGTATGTTTGGTTGAAAATAAAAATTTGATGGGAAAATGGATGGAATTTACGAAAGTAACCTTTTTATAAAATTTTGAACTATTACAACATATAAAAAGAGGCGTATTAATGTCATTGTATTCACTCACTTTTTCATTTCTCCAGATTTTGACAAGAAATATCACGTCTGTAGAAGCATTCTTCAACAGTAAATTTATCCAATTTTAACATGCTTTTGTACTTAGATAGCAAAGTGTGTTTGATGGCTAAAAGTAATGGAATCCTTCAACCAAATGAGGAGAATGAAGATTGCTACATACACTTAGATGGAAAAATTTTAAGAAGACTTGAATCAAACACTACGTGAGTGTAAACTTTGCAGCATTCCCACTATTAGAAAGTGTTATGAATGGTTAACTAAACAATCATCGTAAGGGAGAAAAAACGTATACATTGAAAGTTCATGCTGCCACGTACACTGAATTCGTATATGCATGAAATTTGGTGAAAAAAATCGTGATGTTTGGAATTTTTGTTTATTTTTTTTTTATACTGACCATAATAAGTTTTTGAGTTGAGTCGGTCTTCTGATATTTCCACAAACTTCAACTCTCGGCTATACGACTAATTTTGAGTCGAAACTTAGTCAAATTAAGTTAAAGTTTTTCTAATTTAATTAATCTTAGGGTCGATTACTAGTTTATTACCAAGACACAAACTCCAAATGCAATTAGGGAAAATATGTTGAGTACTTATTTAATAATGAAAACTCGGTACATCTAATTCATCATTTTTTCTCTCCTTTATGATCAAACAATTTTCAGTTTTTTTTTTTTTAATTTTGAGTAGCACTAAAAATATGCTTCCAATCAAGAAGAAATTGAACACACAGGCACACACATATATAACAATTCTTTAAGTAAAATTAATACTTTTATTTATTATATCCTTGGCGTGATTAATCATCATCGTCATCTTCGTCATTTTTTATTGTTTCAAGCCAAATCAATAGTCACAATGCATATATATACCCGGCGGATAAACCGCTGTAAAGTTTAAATAGTAACTGCCAAAGAAGACCTTAGATGTGGCCGAAAAGTATGCACGAATATAGTTCACCAACAGACATAAAGTACAAAATAAACAATAATTCCTGTCAACTTGATTGTGCATGCGGAAAGAAATTAAGTTACGGTATTTCAAGACTTTGAAAATTTAATCATTTCAATCAGGAATCAATATTTATTACAATTTGTTTCTGCTTATGCACGACCAAGTTGAAAATAACAATTCTTCTCTATTTGATTGAGCATGCATTTTAAAAGAGCTTTTTACATTTTATAAAAACACGCATTTTTATTATTTATTTCTAATTACATAGATATTGAAATATATTTTATGTACATGATGGTTACTAGCAATAATGATAAAGTATAATTGAGTAATTTAACTGCGACCAAGTTAAAAACGAAACAGATCTAGTCTTATTATGTTTGTCTTCATTCAAATATTGTAAATTAGTAATTAGAGAAAGAAAGAGAACTTGGGCTTAGCCCCTCTTTATTTACAAAAAAAAAAAAGAAAAAAAAGAAAGAGAACTTTAAGATTTTATCTTTTCTGAGCGTGAAGATGGGTGCAGGACATGCAGTGGGCACTAGTTTTTACAAGTTGCTTTTTTTTTTTTTGTATTGAAATTTACAAGTTGCTCTGAAGCTTCTATTAATTTTTTCGGTCCAAAATTGTAATTATGTACGTAGTAGTTAAGGAAGGATAACTGAAACCCTGATAATGGAAAGAATATTTTTTAAAATAAAAAAAAAAATGAGTTTCCTCGTGGATAGCCATGCAGTACGTATGATATCGAGCGTATAATATTAATAATATAATGATTATCGTATCTATATATATGGATTACGACGTTATTTTAAAATCATTTTCTATGGTGAACGAATCAACCTCTGTAGTGCAACTTGCCTTGGAGGAACTCAACTTGTTGGGTAAACAATGCCAAGTTGTTATTCTTTTCGCCGCATATGTAATAATATTCTCTCTCTTTATGCGTTCATTAGTATTGATATATATATATATATATCATTATAGAAATGTGAGTTGTTGGAAGGGACGGACGGAATTGCAAGTTGGCTTGCAAGTGGACAACAAGGCCCTTCATTAATGTTTGCTCAACCTTACTCATAGTCATTGATGAATAGTATCTGTTAGAGTGTCCCATGGGTTGTTTACTCATTTTACTACACATGACTTGGTCAGAGTTAACCAATCCTATTGCAATTACTCATGACAAAGATTCCGGCCTTTTGACTCATACGTACAGAGCTAAATAGTGAACAATGAAACGGTTTAATTCTTCTGATGAATATTTTATCCTTCTGATGCAAGAAAACACGTTAGGAATTTGGATCCTCTCATATGAAAAAATGGTCATGTGATCATATATTATTTGATCATAATCATTTATTTAAAAATTATATATTTTTATTTCTCATAACTCATCATCAATGAGTAGTTGCGATCAAATTACATAATCACTTTTTCACATTATAACATTCAAATCCACACCGCCGGTGATAGGTTAAGACATGGATACGACAGGTGCATAAAAGTCACGCTAGCTTCCACAGTTCCACTGTATGCTCGTTCTGTGTATTTCTTTTTGCCTTCACTTCTTTTATGCTCGTTCTGTGTATTTCTTTTGCCTTCACTTCTTTCTTTTCTTTCTCTCTCTTTCATTCTTTGTGTTTTTTTATGCATCTTTCTTTTTTTTCTCTTCCATTGATATTTTTTTTTTATACGAGTGAAAATTGAACACATAACTTAATATAATATATTTAAATTCATCCTCATTATACCAATCCTAGTGGCTTTCTTCCATTGATATTTTGTTACGAGAAGATACTCTCTCTCTTTCATTTTCTATTCAATATCATATTTCATTCTTCTTCTTCTTTGTTAATACAAGTGGAAATTGAATACATAATTTAATATAACGTATGGAAACCCTTTATCATTGGACCAATCTTAATGGCTTTTCGTTCTTTTTCTCTTGTCCTTACGTTGATTTGGTTTTTTTTTTTTCACAGCCCACAAATTTAGAGAAACATAAATCAGTAAAAATAATCTATATCCCAACTAGTCCGCACCAAATTCGCCCACCACCTTAATCCTTGACAATTCGAATTCCAGATCTTCCCGCAATACTTTGGATCAAGCTGAACATTGCTTGGTTTGATATCCCATGGATCACTGGTGGATCACATCCAAGGTGCAAGAACTCCAATCCTCTAGCAACATCTGATACTATATGCAAAACCTACTCTCCGGCTCTCCAAACCC